GGGTCTTTAGCATGAACATCATTGGCACCTTCAACATATTCAAATTTACCTTTCAGAACTTCTGAAAATTTTCATACAACAAAACCTTCCACGAATGACAAAAAGTCCAGGAAACATTTCAATTTATACTGTTTCATTAGGAATTTATAAACGTATGTGTATGTACATGTACAATGAACGTATGTACATACAAGTACATGGAACTGCGATTCTGGAAACTTGGGGGAGTCTCGATCCCTCAAAAACAGCACACTGATGCAAAAAAGCAACAGGGAAAAGAACACCGGAGGGTGTCAGTTTCAATTCACCTTTACAGAGTGCCTGGTCCAGCACGGTGATGCACTCTCAAACCAGGAAAAGGCATCCACTTTATGTTAACTAAACTGTTTTATACAAATGAAAACCGCGAGGACATTTCTGACAGTGACAGCAGAGATCCGTGAGAGGAAATAAAGAACTCAGGCACAGACGGCAACAATAGAGGGACACGGGTTTTTATTCTTGGTTCGTGGTTTCTAAATTCAAATACAAGCAAAGACAAACACCACTGATGTCTTTTAGTCTGAAATTTTCAATCCCCCCAAGTATGCATCACCTACCTATTGTCAAAGGGTAACAATGGACAAGCAGGTTTGTCCTAGGAAAAAAGCCCGCCTCATTGGCGACACAGGTGAACCATGGGTGAACATGTGTCTTCCAGGACTCCAAAGACTTTAATACAAGCCACAACAATGGCCCTACCAAGAAGCGTACACACAGAGTGTCTAGTGAGTGGATGGTGGTTCAACCTACTTCTATTCAGCTTCATGTACAGAAAGTCAAAATCAGCCGAGTCTGATGAATAACTTGACAGCATTATGTGGCAATACAAACATGTACGTACCATTGGTACATTAATCAACAGTTGTGCAATATCCTTGCAGTGCTCACAGTGGTCTCTACAGTGCAGACTACTGGCACTTTGAATTTTCACTTTACACTTCCTCTGGCGATCAATCACTGGTCCACGTGCAGACCGGTACTTGATAAGCGAACGATCTGAAGAAACAGGCTCAGTCCAAAGACCAGCCCAGACACAATGACAAAGCAAACTGTACACTCTTGATTGAAACCCCCCCCAAATGATGTAACCACATGCTTCCTTTTGTTGCTTGTAGAAAGGGGGGCTCACAAGTCCGAGAATTTACTTGTAACATGTTCTTCTTCATGAAAGTGATATCTTTAGAATTGGAAACTGAGTTCCTGTAAAACTTTATATCCAGTCAATCTGACATGAACTTAATATCCTGTCCCTTTAAGTTGAGTGTGAGGTTGGACTGAAGACTAGAAAAAAATATGTAAATGTAGGACTCTGATAACTTATTAAATCAGTGCATCATGTACACTGTACATTGTATGACAACTGGCTTAGCCATTAGTTAGCAAACTGGTTAATAATTGTCTCACTGGTTGAATGACAAGACTGACCTCGCCAGATGACCCTCAGCAACCCACAGTGTGAGGAGATTTAGGGCACTAATGTTTGTTGACCATGAATCACCTCTCAGAGGTCAATGACCAGTCAAGATGCAGACCAGCCTCCTCCCCCCACAATAAAAAATTGCTTGGTCACAGGTCAAGGTTAACGGAGGTCAAGGTTGAGGCAAGCACATTGCATACACATGATCTGAATTCAGATCAGTATCTGTTCTCCTGTCACTATGTCAGTGTTTCTGAAAACGTAAATTTCTTTATTCGTTTGTAATTTAAACATGAAATTCACCCACACGTAGGCCTTTCCCCCATCAATTGTTATTTGCGCTAACAGTAGGCCAATATATTTTCATTTTTCGTTTCTATTGGTTTTATTCTTCTCACATCCGTTATCCAGGACAACAAACAACTCTTAACAAACAGTTATTTTAGAAAAATTCTTGGGTTCTATTTTTATGTTGTTTTACCGGTATAAGTAACGGGTATGTTTCTAAGTCATAATGTTTATCAGCACATTTCACTCAATTTTATACAATTTCTCCACTGTGTTTTAGTTATTGTGGTGCACTTGTTAGTTTTCAAATCACTTTTTAATAAGGATGCTCTTCTATAAGTCAACTAAGCAAAGTGACTTGCGAGGGACAACTTCTTGGTAAACCTGCACAGGGGGTGGTCCACTGACGCACAATTAAACATGGTTCTGTGCCAAAGTTGAATCATGATACTGAATACACTGGCATTTTTATCATAGGTGGCATGCACGTCTTATCAACGTACGCACAGTTGGGATTCTAGTTTGTGTGGCTCTATCCTCTGGAGAGAGAGACTCCGCGCCATTCAATTAGCATGCATACAAGCTCAGGATTAGAGTTTGGCAGGTCCTTCCCTCAGTGCTGACTGGCAGCCAAGTCGATCTTCTGGCCAGCTGGCCTTCTTGCTAAATACTTGAACGTCAGAGCCGAAACGCAAACAAGCAAAGCTGACGTCACTGTCTATGAGGCCAGAAAAACTGGACAGCGACTCTAACAGAGACATGAGCCAGCGAGCTGAATGTGCATTCCTGAAAAGCTTGTGGACTTGTCATCGTCTGAAAATACACAGTGAACTTGAAGTTAAAGTGTTCTTTCGGTGGAGGAGATTGTACAAAAATATGGTGATTACTGTAAACACTAAGGAATATGACTCATGATTTTATTTCAAGACAGGACGGGTGCCTTTAAGGATGCATTCATATAACAGGTGCAGTAAAATTCAGCATCATGGCAATACTTAACGTTCAGGAGACATTTTCTTTAATGCCATCACAGATCAGAGTCACCTTACATCTTCATCAAGGATGACGGCACCCCTTTTATCATTTTTTCCCTTAACCACACCATGTGAATTGCATCTACCAGCTTCACTTGTCCGGAAAAGGGGGAGCCTTGAGGGCAACAGCAGGGAGCCAATAACAGTTCTCTGGCCGGCAGACTGTTGAAGGCGAATAGGTCAAGTCATAATAGATGCAACAAAATGAGGTAGATATTGAGGTGAAAATGAAGTGTTGGTTTTGGTAATCTTTTGCATCTGGCCTCACCACACGCATACAATACACTGGTGAAAAAAACACAATTACAAGTTCACATGTACATGTACATACCCAGAGGCAAAGGCATAATAATTACATATTGTCGCACGTGTACATGATTTTCTGCTGGGCAAAAAAAGAAGGTAAATAGAGGCACCGTCTTCAAGATGGTGAGTTCCCTTTCCCCTTCAGGAATTCACAATCTTGGAAAAACGGGTACATGTTCGATCCTGACAGGAACTTCAGTCTACCTGTAGGCTGCATTTCTTTTGAGCGGGAAGTGTGGTCCAATGCAGCAAAAAAAGGACTCACGTACCAAATTGGGCGACTCTGGCAAATCATCCACGATGGAAACCAAGGATAAGGCAAGCCTTTTTTGTGCTCAGTGACGGTCGTTATTGACAATTGCTGCTTAAATGCAAATTCTACGCCTGGTGACACTTTTCCTGCAACAAAGCCCCCAAACTTTTCACTTTGTTCATTAGAAAATGACCGTTTCTTAATTATTTTCTGCCCGTTTATACGGAAGAGCTAAAGAACATGGCCAGTGATAGGGGCAACTCTGACAACAGTTACAACAGCGAACATTTCCATTTCAGAGATTTGAATTGCGCTCGCGGTGGTGGTACAATAGCCTATGATGCTGCTTGAGAAAGAATGACTTTGCTGTCGAGTGATACAAAAGTTGCAATGGCTTTTGGCGGAAAGGCGTTTAAAAATGGACCAAAATTTTGCAAATGTGTATAACTGTGTATCAGCAGAGCTGTGCATCGTGCTCACAATACTCAAGGATTAAGTGACCTGACTCATCGGTAGGCTACTACATTCCGTAATTATTTTTGCTCTTCAATAGTGCTTTATTTCGATGCTTCACTCCTTTTCATTGTTTCCTGTTGCTTTTTAAACTTATTAGTGCTTTAATGGTTACCAGGTGCTGGCAAAAAATAGTGTGACTATTGATATATACAGAAATCTGTTGCTAGGCAACTGTGGAAGAATAGGGGACAGCTACTTCACCTCGTTTAGCACCTAAGACATCCAGGATGATTTGCCATATATGGTGATAGGACTTCTTTTTAACAACTTTTTTTTTTCAGAGCCACATTTTTGTCAGTTTGGAAAGTAGACACATCTGCATCTCTGCAAACTCACACAAGTGCCATCTGAATGTTTTTAGGTGCTGTAAGTAACTAGCTCCACATTAAACCCGTTACTGTGATCAAGTACTGCCAACGGCAGTCTGGTCAGTTTGGGCATTATCATACTCCTGTCCTTTGGCACAGTACTGCAACTAGAGAACTAGAAAGACTTCTAAGTGTCCAGTGTGACAAGCTCAATTGTTTCAAGCGTGAGCAGTCGTTTGTCCATCAGTACTGTTTTACAAGTGCTCTGTGAGGGGAGGGGGAGGATCCTGCCTTGAGACACAGCTTTGCTTTGGCTTCTTTCTCAGAAAGACCTGGATGGTCGGAGTGGTTGACCAGTTCCCCATCCCACTGATGGATGGTTACAATGTGATGGAGACAAGAGTACATTTTCTCTAAGCAACGCGGAGGTTCATTCTCTTTTCTTTTGGCTTTTCTGTTGAATTTCTTTTCTAATGATTTTGTGACATGCCAGACATCATACTGATGCTCTATTTCCTTGTAAGTTTCTCTTGAGGAGTTTTGGTGAGAAATTAAGCTGGGTTTAGCACTGGCTTCATATGCAGTTTTCCAATCCTTGCTCTTCAGTTTTGGGTAGAATTTTCCTATAACCCCGTGATGAGGGACAACCCCGATTTCAAAAAGACTGTGGCACCTTGGTCCATTCTTGAAGCCAAAAGATTTTTGTGTTAAACAATTAAGCCCCTGCATACAGTACATTGCATTTTCCTTTTTTTTTTTTTAATAAACCAGATGGAAACCTTCCTACCGGTAGGCAAGTCCTTTTTGGGGCGTGGTCTGTGGTTTGAGCCCGAAAGGCCACTGCTTTCAACAATACTGCCACGCCTGGGTCAATGCAAGCCCCATACACTGCATTATTCCTTTCTGAATAAACCAAATGGAAATACACCAAGGCAGGCTTCAACAGATGTACCTAGTCGTCTTCAACGAGGGAGACGCCCCACCTATAAGGCGCTGATCATTTCAATCCAAGCAGCCGAGAAAGAACTGAACCAGCTGTGGAAGTTGACCCAGCAGGCCCTCAGACAGACGTCAAAGTACATGTATACTTTGTAGGGAATCAGTCCTTTTTGGGGGCGTGTTCTGTGGTTGGAGTGGGGGGGGGGCAAAAATAGGGGAATGAGGAGCCACAATGGTTTTGTTGTCATTCTCAGAGGTCGTAAATTGACTCCACTGTAGGGACTAGCGAACATCGGTCTGAACGTCCTTTGAACCATTTCATATTGTTTCATAGTCAACCAAAGCCCCTTCAAAACCACACTGCTCTTCCTTTTCTTTTCGAAATGACAAAAACCAAGAGAGTGATATCTGAAACATTGTCACAAAGAAATGCACGGGTAAGTTTTCTTTCTATTTACACTGTTCAAAACTTTGTTCAATCAAACACAAAAACCCAGTAAATAAAGCACGAAAGGATTACAAAGTAAAAAGTCATTATGAAACTATGAGAGGGTGATTGTATGTACAAGTCAAACAACAGAAATGTGAAAATCAGAAAGGCAGAATTTTGTCAACCAAGTAAAGGATGAAATAAAATCAAAGAACAGGATGAAGGAAAATCAAGTAAAGACTGAAAATAAATCAAGTAAAATAAATCAATCAAGTTAAGACTGAAACCAAATCAACTCAAGTAAATACTGAAATTAAGTCAATGTAAAGTGTAGACGCAAATCAAATCAATGTAAAGTGAAGACTCAAATCAATCAATGTAAAGTAGGGCTTATCCATGGTTACTCACATTAGGTTTTTCATGTACATGTACTTTTGAGTTTCTTTGGGCTGTAATTATTTTCCTGTAAATTCACGCCAACTCCGTAGCAAGTTAGGCATACCTAGGCCTACATGACAAAATATGAACAATAAAAATGTATTAAGTAGGATACACAAGATACACACAATCGATGACTCACATTACAATTGCGGACAAACATAAAAAAACAACAAGCTTTAATCAAAATGTCTACTAATACAAACAAGCTTTGCAAAGTTCTTTTAACTGGATTAAGAACCCCGCAGTTAAAGTAACACAACTTATTCTTTAGATTTCTAGAAATCTACCAGACACCTGGTTACTTACTGGTATGTTACAGTTATTCATGTTACAAAGTGCCAAAACACAAAACAGACCATAAACTGACAACTTAACCTTACCCATTGTGTTTGAAAAAGAGATAAATGTATCTTATCACAGTATCATCAACAAAATATCTACTTGAATTCATTTTTGTATTTGCGAAACTGAACTTTCCAGCATGTCCTACCGATGCTTTTTCTTGCCAGATCTCAAACAGTCCAAAATTCAAGCGTTCGTGAAAATCAATTTTCACTAGTTACAATTGAAAAGTGTAAATTTTTGAATAATATCCAGACTGTAAAAGTTGTTGTTTTGTTTAATAAATGGGAGAAAAAAATGTTAAAAATTTGGAGGAAACAGCCCGCCCACTAGAGGTATCTCTTTAACATAAAAAATTTACATATCTGTGCCGTACGTTTGAAAAGGCATCGTCACGCTGCTGGTACATCAGTGCTTGTCCATCACACTGGAACCTAAGATGGGACAGGCCTGCATTTTGTGATTTTCCGACAGCTGCGAAATTCAGACAAATTTCAGACAAAATTCAGAAAAGAACTCAGTATTTGGTGTATAGTAACAATGTTTAGTCATGACATCCTTACGATATAGTCAAGTCATTTCTTTTTAAAAATCTGAATTCTAGTGTCACGTGCATGACAGAAGATACATAAACGTAACTGACTTGATCATCCTTGAATCAAAGTTCCTACCTGTATAAAATAAAAACAAACAAAAAGGATTTCCTACTTTGGGAAAACTCACTTCAAAATTATCATTCCACTTCAGCAGACCATTTCTCCCAAAATTCTGCAACAAATCAGTTATTTTAAAAATTTGTTCCACAAATTTCGAACAAATGTACATCAACATTTTTCTAAATAATGGCCGTGAATTATGAATTTGAAATTTGGGGGCCATTTACTCTATCGTGCAATTGCACTAGAGAACGAAACCAAATTAATGTAAAGAAAACACTGCATATCTGAAAGTCCCCATCCAGTGTCAGATGTTCATTCGCCTCCGCATTCACGACATACAAATATTGCGTACTTGGCAGCGTGTTCCCTGCAGACGTATCTGTAGCAGGAATCACATACGTTCCGCGTTCGTTTGCCCCCCCGAGCGCGCGAGGGGCATGTGTGGCAGTCTCTTTCTGGCAGTGGGGCATCTCGAGGCTGCTGGCGTTGATGTCTCTTCCTCGCTACGTCGAAGCCAAGCATCTGAATGGCACTGACGGTATGTGTGCGCAGTCCTACGGGGTTGGCCGCCCGTAGCTCAACTTGTGGCCGGACGAGTCCCATGATGAGCTCTTCATAGCAATCACGTCTGGTGTGTCGCTGGGCCCAATCTGGGTTCAGTTGGCAGTACAGTACGTAGGTGTTCATTGCTGCGATATTTATTATATTGTAGAACACAGTCAGTGGCCATCTTTTTGTTGTTCTCTGCACCGAATACAAACTCACCATTTGATCTACAGTGTCCACTCTACCCTTGGTCTTGTTATAGAAGTTGATAATTTCTGGTTTTTGGTTTGTTTTATCAACACTCTTGTCATGGTGCATAGAGGACAGCAGTGTAACACACCTCTTCGGCTTAGGGATGTAAGACACCAGGGTCAGATCATTATTGAAAAGAAACACCGATGACTTGGCAGCTCTTTTCTTGATGCCCTTTGGGCGGATTTCCTTGGGCACTTCGCGCCGATTCGGCTTGATCATTCCAACCAGAGTGATGCCTTTTTGTAGCAATTCTTGGGCCACTTCCGATCCAGTGAAGAAACTATCACATGTGACATTTCTTCCCGTGTTGAACAGTGGTTCCATCAGTTTCTTCACTACTTGGCCGCCGAGGTTAGGGGTCGGTTAATCCCCTGCTTTTCCAAGGTATGGCATTATATTCAGTGTGTAATGGGTGTCAATGTCCACACACAGCCAAAACTTGATGCCATATTTCACGGGCTTTTGGGGCCTGCACTGCCAGAATGGACATCGTCCACGAAATGGCACTAGCTGTTCACCCACTGTCACGCACTCCCCGGCGCTGTAGTATCGCCGGCAGGAGGCGGCAAACTGGTCAAAGATCTCACGGATTGGCGCGAACATGTCATTCTGTCGGCGCTGACATCCAGTTGCTTTGTCGTCGAATCTGAGCATCGCAAGTATGTCCTGAAATCTCATGCCGGACATCGTTGCAATGCAGAGATTTCGGGCAAAGGGACCTTTCCTCCAAATTGAACGAACGTTTTCACGTCCCGACTTGGTCAGTCCGAGGAAGAGCAGTAGGCCGACGGCGGATGACAGTTCCATTGGGACCAAGTCCTTCCACGCATTCCCACGCTGCCGCCGGCCTTCTTCATTTGTGTGGAGCAGGATGGCGTCCATCATGGCCGTACTGATGAAAAGGTGAAAAAGCTGGAGGATGGAAGATGCTCCGCCAAGGTTTCGTGGTCCCGGCCTCTCTGTCACGACGTTCGCCTGGGGTGCATCCGTCATCCAAATTTCTCCGGAGGGAGATTTGATGAATGCTGGCGAAGGTTGCGCCGCTTGCAGTTGCCCTCGTCCAACTGCTTCTCCTTGTGCGGCTCCCCACGTTCGTCCGGCTGCTGGCCCTCTTGCTGCAGAATCGCTCTCACTGCTTGAGGACTCCTCACTTTCCTCATCGTCCGTGTCTTCATTGCTGTCATAGCTACTGTCTGATTGTGGCGGCATGTCTTCGCCACTTTGTTCAGACGCCACCGAGACATCTGAACTTGAATCTTCGTCTTCGTCTTGGAGCAATGTTTGCAGAGAAGGAACAGTGTCAACCCGACTGGTCCAAGCCATCTTGAAAACTGAACTACGGGTACATTCAGACATGGAAAAAGTTGATCCGAGTTTAATTGAATTTGGACTGAGTTTAGTTAAAAAGGGAATAATCCAAAATAAGCTCTCATTCAAACAAGGAAGTTACGCCAGCACCATCCGGTGTAACACACATAGAAGTGGCTCAAGTTGACCCACTGCAGTTACACAAGGCCTGTGGACCTTAGCCCCAGACCCTGTGGAAGCTCCAATAACGAAAAGTGCACAGGCAGGGAAAAACGAAGCATCGGAATACGTACACGTCCATGCAATATGCACGCAAAGTGCAGCACTGAACAAACAGTGCAAGTGATCGCCCTGTTGTTGACCCTTTCTTTCCTCCATGCACCAATGTACGTAACCAGCTGAGACGGGTGCCTGTCCATTATACTAGTACTCTTGCCGGTGCTTGTTCAAGATTGCACCGTCCCTGCAGATCGCGCATCCCATGGTTAACTTTGGGGTCAAAGTCCAAATATTGTATATTGTTACATCACGGCGCCGTGAACAAACCAGGAGAAAACTGAGCGATAACCTTTGGCACAAAGCTGGTGAGTCAAGTCTGCAAGTCAAGTCATTTTTAAAAAATTAGTCTTTGAGTAAGTCTGAAGAAGTGTTGCCACTGGAGGCACATAGTGTACTTGCCTACACACCTACACCCCTTGCAACTCTCTGCATCTTGAAGACAGTCTAGGCAGCAAACAAGCGCATGCATAGTTATCCTGGCAAAATGGGGTTTCATATCAGAATCTGTGGTTTAGAAACAAGGCGTTTGGCAGGTATACATGTGGGAAGGTTGTGGTGTTCATTACCTTCAGCACCCTGATCCTATAATAAGGAAATAGGGTCTACCTTTCAAAACAACTTACCTAGATAAGTTGAAGGGTGATGTCCTCTTTCGCATCAGTCAGAAAAGACAGGGCTTTGGTTTTCGAGGGAAGTTATGGGGTAAAATGGCAGCGTAAATGACATGACGAGGAGCTGTGAATGAAGATGAATTAGCAAATGTAGTTTGGTTCCTTGACCCCGATGAAGTTTTTTAAATGAAATTTAGTATATCCACAGTGGCTGAGTCAGGTAACCAGACGTGAAGCAAAATGGTGTGATGCTCTCATCTTTCACTGAACTTGGGTTAGAAACTTCTGGTTTAAATATTGTCTAAATTTACCTCAACCTGAGCTACTAGGATGAAGCAATGGATCCCTAAAGTCTAAATGTCAGTTGGTTTGAAAAAGTGGACTTCCTTTCCCTATCATAGGACAGGGTGCTAGAGGTAATGAACACCAGGGTGGCATCTACTGGGGACACCTCCATTATGCGGACATAAAGGTAATTTATTTATTTTGCAGGGTTTTTATTCATTGTGTACTAGTATGCAAAAAACCTAATTTCAAAGATGACTAAACAAATCAAATCATTCAACGGTATTTTTTAGTCAATTCAGTATAAAATGCCGTGCAAGTGTCTCCAGCCAGTACATTGCATGCGAAGGACTTGCAGGTAGCCTACGCATAAGGTCAAAATGAATAAACTACGCCCGGAAATAAGGTTGGTTCTGTCCACATGTTACTTCATGGCTCATCGCGGGGGAAGGGGGATTGGTACCATTGGCACAACTTACTCCATTCCATTACACTAATCCACCACTTATTCCACCTCAGGTGGACTGGAGCATTCAATCATAGGGGCAGCTAGATATTTTTGGATCAACCACTGATTGGTACCTTGTCTGAAGGTACCCTATCACCCAATTGCTGGAAAACAGCTGACCACCAGGCCCCAGACGTCAATAAGATAAGACCACGATGTATTACCCCACACTCCACCAGCATGTGCAATCTATCTAGCAGCACTCAGCAAGGGAAGGTGCTGGGGAAGATTTTCCATTTTCTCTGACATAAAAAAGAAAACCCGTGAAAAAGTTGGAAACACGCCGGTCAGAATTCACTTGTCTACAGTGCCTGCAAGGAAGGGGAATTCAAAACAAACAAAGGTTACCCTTCACTACAAATAATATTTAGTTCCATCAAAAGCATGTTGTTCACTCAACTCTGGTATCCATTTGTACTGAATTTGTTTCGTACTCCTCAACTGTTCAAACTAAAGACAACAACAAAACAGAAGGCCACCCTTCCCCAGCCATTTCCCACCACTTAAAGGACCAAGGTCCCTCGTGTCGGGATCAAGAGAGAGTCATATGTATGCAGGGGTTATCAAAGTAAAGAAAGAAGAATAATCATTGCCTCTAAAATACACAGAATAAAAAGCAATACGCTTGAGGCCCGTTTTGTGGAACGTGGTCGTGATTTAAGAAGAAATAGGCCTTATGGGCAAGAACAAAGAAACAGAAAGAATTTACAAATTGCTGATATAATTCAAGACCCCTCATCCATCCCCTAACTTCCCAGAAGAAGTACCTCCAAACACTACAGGAGAACACTTTAATTCATAGGGTCGTGACCAGACAAGTTACAAATAAATTTGAGAATCACTTTTCTTTTCCCTGAAACATCCTCATTCCAAAACCAAACGCCCACTGGATATTCATGATCAATCTCATGAAATTAATTTAGAAATAACGTGTGGCAACATGCCTCCAAAAACACAGGAGTCAGTGGAGAACCTTTTTTTTCTCCTTCACAAAACGGCATGACGTTGGGCAACCGGAAATTGATGCAAGCTGATCCCGGCGGGTGCTGTTCGGCCGCAGAAGGGACTTGGAACAGGTGGTACTTAACACCTCGCAGAGAAACAGAGTGTGGGACCGACTAAAACAAAAAGGGTTCTACGCACCAATGTAATAAAGAATGTGGTAATATAACTTCACTTCTTGGAATAAACTACCAAAAGAGGGAGAATCAATTTAAATGTTTGTTTCAACAAACTAATATGGCTTAATACAATAATCGGACCATAGAGGGAGGATAGAAGAACCACGTTTTTATTCCTGGAATGTGCAACCTCATTGAGAATTACATTCAATTCATCAACGCATGTGTGAATGTGGGTTAATTCAATTTCAACCCTTCTTTGTGTCAGTGATTTGATTTTTATGCGAGGGGCTTCCTGCTGGGGAAATGGGCTCTTATCCTATTCACTCAATTTGAATGGGCCCAGCATGGAGCAACATGCAAAAACTCAAAGGACATCTCTTTGCAGAAGTGACTAATGTCTCCAATTAACCACACATCTCCAATAAAAACTTTCATTTTCCATAGGAATGTTGACAGAATTCCCTGGCTATATATTGAAACTGCAATATGTTGACTGTGCATGTACCCAATTCAAATATGGATCTACACATACTGATAACATGTCAATTACACATTTTGTTTTTTTTCACACACCAAATAATGGCAGTTTTTGTGGAATGTGATATCTGACTGAATCCATATCGTCCAAGATAAAGTACACACACACATGTATTTCAAGGGAGGATTCCAGTAAAAACCTTTCTGTAACCGGCTAAATTTACATACAACCAGTCAACACTTAAACCTTGTGACACACATCCACATGCAACCCTACTGTAAAATGGACTGGTCCATGGGCAGCAGGCATCCAGGTGTGCACTGATGGCACATACCATTATTGTAGTGAGACAGGTGTGATCTAGTGCAAAGTCATGCCAGTGATGAGTCATAGGATTGAAGTGGTGATTCAGGTAAATGTAAAGGCTTGCCTTTGTTCCTGGTATCCTGTGCCCATATGACAATGTACATGTAGGTGTTTCCTGCTCATTACTAAACATCCAGGAATTCTATGTGTAATTTAATTATAGTCAAGGAACTAATGGGGAAAAATATGGGGCATGCTACAAACATATTTAGAAGGTGCTTTTCATAGAATCGGGAGGATCGTCATGACAATGACTCTAATTATTACAGAACCCTCTCTCCCATTAGGGAGCAACTTCAAAATTCGATAGAGTTATGATAAACAATTGCAATAATGTTAAAATATTCTGATATTCAGAAAACGTGCGTGCATGTACGTGCACACTGTTCATTCACACTTGCATCGAGCCAAATTGACCAGCTGGTGGCCAGTACATGTCTATGAAGATTGTAACCGATTCACACAAACGTGAAAAGTCACAAAAATAGTAAGTGAAGTTTAATAACACAATATGGGCACAGTTCAGGTTCAAAGAGTTAATGGAATGAATAAATGTACATGTATTTCAGTTGAAATTTAAATACAGTGGACACTGAAACATTCTATTGGCAGCTCCTCTCAATCAATTGATTGATTTGACTTTAGCCTTACGAAAATGTCGCACAAACAGTTTATAATTCACATCATAATACCTCTGTTGAAAAGAGTTTAAAGGAACTGGAAAGTTAGATTTATGGTGGACCTTATGAGAAATAAAACAAACAATAGCAATCGTGGAAACATGAATAACAGTAAATCACTCACCCAACGTAGCAACAGATCTACCAAAATGGGCAGACACTCAAGAACCAATACATGTTCATGGACCTGAATGCAAATTGGCATAAATGACATTAGCACATAGAGCAGAGAGAGCCGTGAAAACTGGCTCCCCCATCTGGTTACATGATATCCTCGCATTCGGGTAGGGCAGATAATTCCTGGTTACATAACGTTTTCCTTAAGTTGTAAACTTTAAAAAGCTACATCCTGATTCCTTCTTCCTTTGGCTCGAGCCAAACTAAATATCCTTAAGTCCCAGATCGGTCTGGATCTCGGGCTTAAGACAACTGCCGCACACTAACAACTCCCCTGACACTTCCTTCACTTCATGAATCTCCGGCTTAAGATAATGGCGGTGAACTAATGAAAAAAACCCCTTTTCAATTCTCGCCTGTGATCCATTCAGGAAAGGGAGGATCAGCGAATACAGGGGGGGGGGAATGGGACACTGACTAGGTCCTAGGGTCCAGGTTATCACATTCGCAAGTGATTGTGGGTATGAACGCATGAACACTTTCTTTTTTTTTTTTTGAGCTGAAAAGCCCTCAATATGAAATAAGAAACTTTAAAAACACATTGAATTTTGTTTGTTTGCCCTAATACTCCTATCTGTACACGTCTTGGCTGAGTTCAGGCGGCTTGTTCTTGTATGTTCACAAACAGCTCGATTTGTTTTTTGGTCGGCCGCTCGAACGCCGGGAACGTACAACCGGTTATTGCTGGTAGTTGGTCACACGCAACACGCAACATGGCAGCTTCCATGTACATTATTCGAGGGTTCATGTTTGCATAACTGGGCTAAATTCTTTTCTGTTTAAACAGGAACTTTCATTTCTGTGTTATGAAGAATAATTAATGTTACTTTTATTTTGTAAAGTTTCCTATTGTCTCTGGCTTTGTAAGCCATCACTCTATTTTTTGCAAGGTTTGCAGCTGGTCAAAAATCACAATCGGACAAGTTTTTCCATGTGTTCTTGTAAAACCCTGACAAGGAGGTAGTGTGTGATCCTGTTCCGAGAACAGTGTTCTTGAGTCGTGTTCCCGCTGTTCGAGCGCAAGAGCGAGAACAAGAAATCCATGTCAAGAACAGGCCGCCCAAACTTGACTTTTGTGTACCGGTACCTTGAAAAACTCATTTTTTGGATCACTTTTCTATTTACTAGTTTGGTTTCGATCTGAGGTGGGGTCAGTTGTTACAGTTGATTTCAGAAGTTCTTCAGGGTTTCCGCCACATGCGGCTTTGAAAAAATACTGTTAGCCTTGAAAAGTTCACAACAACTCATTGCACACTGCCACGTATACGCCAGAAATCAAGCTTGGCTAGGCAAGGGTAATCTCCAAATTTAACAACTTTTTGTCCATTCATGGAAGCTGCTGAATCACAGTTTGCCTATTCATATTTCAATTTTCGGGTTATTAAAGATTTTTTGTGGGGGGGGTAGAATTTTCTCCTTTTGGCGAGGCCAGGTCAACAAATTGCCCATTTGCTGTCTGATCCAGACTGAGCATTGATGACTGTCGAGGACCCAGTACAGTGTAAATGGCTTGTTTGCTCAGACAACCCCTCTCTTTAGAATACCTGGAGGGATGAAAGGGGCCTGCCCTGTAATGAAGGGCACCAAGTTGCCACAATAGAAATACAAATGTAACACTGTGGGGGACAAGACCTTAGAGCGCTGAGGCCACCAGAGAAACACCATTAGTGACAGCTTAGAAAATGCTGTCTGCCCCAAAAGCCAGGCCATGTTTGCTTCAGAGATCAACAGTTGTGGATGTGCTCGCTGAAATAGGCATTTGAAGGGCAAAGTCAGACATCCATTTACCTGCAGGAGTGGGAGGTCACTGATGTTGATCTCAATATTGGACAAGCCACTCCATGCCGTCAGCATGAAAACTGTATTTGCCAGAGTGGGGAGGGATGTGTATTTCACTGTTTCCACCCCTCCCCATCAATCAGTGGGAAAGATGTATACACTTGAATTTCCTAATATCGGCAAATACATCTGCATAACTGCTCGCATTTCAACGGACATTGGTGCTACATGTACATGAGTAACACCACGGTCATGTCAAACAGGTGGGTAAGGCAAATCACTGACAGTCTTGTTGGCCATAGTTGGGGGAATTTGTGTGCCTCTTAACCGTGGTGCTGACCAGGACTCAGCTGCATTGTGTAGGATGTGGCGGCCAGCATGTGAGCCTCTTTCATCTGAAAAATCTGGCGATTATGATGACTTTCCTTTCCCAGGGTTGTCAAATCTTGCAAAAAAGAAACTTTTGGGGGGACCAAGTCAAAAGAAAAGCGCCCAAGCCAAACAAACAGGGCATCCTGAAGCCAAATACAATTGAAGTTCTCTCTTTACTTTCAATCTCGTGCAACTCTTTTTTGACAATCATTGCTCCAATTCTTACCCCCCAAAAAATGCATCGCATGGTTTCGGCAGCATGCAAAAAACCCCCAGTATCAACAGTCATCTGCTCGCGTGACAAATCTCAATGGGCTCAAAGAGCTCTGGCACAAACAGTTTTGTTCTGGGCCAACTTTGTGCAGAACCATTTCACGCATGTCAGATCCCTATGGGATACATGTACTTAGGTTTGCGACCGAGTGCACATGAAAGCGTCCCAAAACGTCTGGAACTTTTACGCTCAGCCACACTTACAGCGGTGCAAGACAACACAAAAGTGAGGACATAATACATATGAGGAAAGAATAATGTTAGACACAAATACGCTGAACACAAGAGTTTCTGGTACCACTGTAACTGGGACTGCTATGAAAACAATAAATTGCTCAAACCAGTTCACGCACTGTATTTGAGTGGGAAAAACTGGATCCTTTCCAACAAGAGCACGACGAGCAAAGTGCAGTCTTGCATCAGCAAATTGGACATCTTTCCATCTACATTTGGTGTGACAGTTGCTGAAGTTTTCCTGTTGTTAACAGAACGATCATTCCGCTGCTTTGGGCAAAAATAAACAATGAAAGAAGTGCAGCTCCACAGGCTGGCAAACTTGAAAGGTAAATACATGTATCATCATTACAGTTCAAAGATCCATCTTCACTGTGTGCTGACCATACTCCACCCGCTGCTCATGAGTTTGAGAGACCACCTGCCACATGGCAAAAACCAGGAAAATTGGTTCGCATTCCAATGACAGCCAAGTCTGATCTTTCAAGATCACTGGGATCTGGGGATCTGCTTTTGTCAGTTCAAGGAAGTCTTCACCACACATTGTTCGCATATCCAGCTGAAAAGTGAGCTGAACTTTATAGTGAAAAGAGTGCACAAGGAAATATAATCCCCCATTTCAAATTCTGCCCATGTTTTGACAGCCGACAGGCACTGATTTTGTCATAAAATCTCCACCACGTGCCCATTTATCAAAATCACACAGGCAACACTGCATTTGGCAGAAACACCAAGAAAACAGCTGCGTTCTTTGACCCTCGCCCTCCCATTTGGCAGAAAAGTTTCCTGAAAATGGGGGAAAAAAATACGGTAAACTAACATCACTTTCTACAAAAAGTTAAATAAGGCAGGGTGGCCAGCTACATGTCAATTACACTGGGGGAAAACGTCTAAAACGGTGTTTAAAAAAATATACCAACTACAGGCAAAAAAAAAATAATTAAAAGCAAGAAAGGTAAAAGCGTATTTCTTCCACACTTTTTACCCAAAACCACCAAACAAAAACTATCAGGAACTCAAATTTCAAGAACCCACAAATGTGCATGGACTTTACTCCCATTTCTAAAAAACTTTACACTGTGGTCAACACACTGTTTGAGGTCAATGGGTAGGTTTAGTTACCTAGGGATCATTGAAATCCTGCATAACCTTGTTGGGTTCAGTATGGTTAGGGTTTTAAGCAGTGTTGTATGATTCAACATCAGCACAAGGTTTAAGACCCACTTCAGGCCCTTGCCATTGATTTTCATTCAAGTCTTGGGCATTACCAGGCATCAACCAGGTAGATTTATTGCACAAAAATCAAGGGCAAATTTGACACATTCACAGACAGCTTTTTTTTTGGTTGTTTTTTGGTTGTTGCATAAGATGAACAACCCGCACATGTATTCCAGACATGTACAGTATGTGACAACTCAAATAATTACCCCTAACCCCCTAGAGACCACTGAAATCATGCATGTGGTTTTTGGATTCTGACTGGTTGGGGTAAACCCAGTGACCAGATGGTAAAGCTTGGAGGCAACTTCTTAAAACTTGGTGGGTTGCCAAGATTGGAAGACAATGATCATCCAAGATGAATACAGAGAAACTGGTTTGGTCAAAGTTCTGGAGCATGAAGACTGAGCATGTAACTCCTTCCACTTTCAAAATCGTCATGTAACTCCTTCCACTTTCAAAATCGTCAA